CTACTACTACTACTACTACTACTACTACTACTACTACTACTACTACTGCTACTATTGCTACTACTGATGATGATGATATATTTTTAAATGTTCAGCTGATTGAGTTTCATGTTTAATGAATAAAAGAGATAACAATACATTTGAAGAAGATCAAATGTGTATCTATATCTCTCTCTCTCTCTCTCTCTCTCTCTCTCTCTCTCTGTGTGTGTGTGTGTGTATGTATGTATGTATGTATGTATGTATGTATGTAAGTATGTATGTATGTATGTATATAGCATCCTAGGTCAATATCTAGGATGCTGGCAGGAACCCGTATCAACCATCAGCACCAGTCAATGATATTTGCGATACATTTTTAAATGTTCAGTTGACTTGAGTTTCATGTTCAATGAATAAAAGAGATAGTAATGATGGTGATGCGAATTATTTGCACACTGAAGTTGAGTGACTATGGAGGAAGACATCAATGGACGTACCCGTAGTAACAGGAGCCCTTGGAGCAATACTCAAAGGGCTGCCTAGATAAATGGAAATGTTGAACTTATTAGACTTGAATATCCTGACTTTGCAAACAAAAAACAAAAAAAACCCCAAAACCACCCTACTTGGAACTGCATATATACTCAGGTGCTACTTAACAGCTCTTAGGTCCTTGATTAGGGCTTGAACTGTTAAGTTTTTACTAACAGTTCAAGTCCTAACTGTGAATCAAGCTGACGATTAAATGTATAATAATAATAATAATAATAATAATAATAATAATAATAATAATAATTAATAATTAATAATAATTAATAATAATAATAATAAATGTAATGTGCTTATTTGTTCCTGACACTCATGGAAGCATGTGTATGTGTGTATGTGTATGTATAATCTCTGTGTGTGTGTGTGTGTGTGTGTCTGTCTGTCTGTCTGTCTGTCTGTGTCTCTCTGTCTCTCTGTCTTACTGTCTCTGTCTGTCTCTGTCCCTCTCTCTCTCTCTCTCTCTCCCTCCTCCTGTCCATCCCTGGTACTCATGAAAGAATATTTGTGTGTGGTTGCCTTTGTGTGTGAGTGCCCGCACGCGCATATGCACAAGCACCCACATGCTTCCATGAATGCCAGGAACCTCCTAAGCCCTGAATCCTTAACCCTAAGACATTTGCTCTGCTTGGATGCTTATTTTGGCCAAAGGAAACTACCGGTTTCCTGGACTTTAATTCATAGGTTTGGCTCCTTTCCTGACCCCCTTACTCCACCAGCAAACGGCAACAGGGCTGAGTCTGCGCCACAGGGCAGCTTCTCCGCGGGTGGCTTGGGGGTTGTGGGGAAGGAGAAAGCAATGGGTGCACCCACTGCTTGCGCTGGCCTGGCAGCCTGCTTGACCCACTCAATGCCTGTGTTTGATGTGCGTGTGTGTGGGGGGGGGGAAGCCTGGCTGACCCACTGCTTGTGTTGGCCTGGCAGCCTGCTTGACCCGCTGCCAGGCAGTCTTGCATTTGGGGAGGGGGCTGTTGGGAGCTCCCTGCCCCCTCCCCAGCCCCCGTGCTGGCTCCTCCGACTGACTGTTGCTCTTCTTTTCGTAGAGCCTAGCGATGTCTCCCTTCGGCAGCCTCTTCCCCTACCCTTACACCTATATGGCGGCGGCGGCGGCAGCCTCGACGGCCAACCCGATGCACCGGCACCCGCCTTTCCTGAACACCGTGCGCCCTCGCCTGCGGTACAGCCCTTACTCCCTCTCGGTGCCTCTGCCGGACAGCAGCGGCGGCGGCGGCGGCAGCTTGCTCACCACCGCCTTGCCTCCTTCCCTGGCCGGCGGCCCCGAAGGCAAAGCCAGAGCTTTAGCGCCCAGCCCCGGCTTGGGCGTCTTGGATTCCTCCGGTTCCGAGCTCAACAGCCGCTCTTCCACGCT